TGGAAACATGTGCAGGAACAGGAACACAGTCTAAGAGACCCACGTGCTGCTGTTAGCAGTGTGGAAGTCGGACAGCAGCTGCAGCAGAGGGATTAGTCGTCGATGGTTGGCAACCAGAAGGCCTACAAAAGAGGAAAGAACGAACATAAGCTGGCTGTGTGTGCTGGCGGCCCAGAAGGCCAACCGTATCCTGGGCTGTATCCAGAGAAGTGTGGCCAGCAGGTCAAGGGAGGTGATTCTGCCCCTGTACTCTGCTCTGGTGAGACCCCACCTGGAGTGCTGCGTCCAGCTGTGGAGCCCTCAACGTCAGAAGGATATTGACCACTTGGAGCGAGTCCAGAGGAGGCCACGAAGATGCTCAGAGGGCTGGAGCACCTCTCCTATGACGAAAGGCTGCGAGCATTGGGCTTGTTCAGCCTGGAGAAGAGGAGGCTCCGAGGAGACCTCATTGCAGCTTTCCAGTATCTGAAGGGGGCCTACAAGGGTACTGGGAGAGGACTTTTTACAAGGGCCTGTAGTGACAGGACAAGGGGTAATGGGTATAAATTGAAATCAGGGAGGGTTAGATTAGATATCAGGAAGAAATTCTTCACAGAGAGGGTAGTGAGGCACTGGGACAGGTTGCCCAGAGATGCTGTGGATGCCCCATCCCTGGCTGTCTTCAAGGCCAGGCTGGATGTGGCTTTGAGCAACCTGGTCTAGTGGAAGGTGTCCCTGCCCATGGCAGGGGGGTTGGAACTAGATGATCTTTAAGGTCCCTTCCAACCCAAACCATTCTATGATTCTATGATCTTTGACAGAGCAGAACGCAGCACACGGTAGGAGCTGATCACTGCCACCTTCTATAAGCGCACACGCAGACTACCAACGCCCCCCCAGCACTTTAAGGTTACGATCCTTGCTCACACAGGCCTGGTTTGCATGGCAACGTTCTCCAGAGCAAGCCAGTCGTACACAACCCAAACCCACCAGCTGAGTACACCGAGCTAAAGAACTCTTACTTCTGCATGCACAGTTCAATCACTGCTCTGCTTTTGTGTGTGCCCACGCTGGCTTGCCAGGCGTGCTGCCCCACGTATCGACCTGGCCAGGTAAGGCGCAATCGAGGTGGGACAGATGGGGACCTGGCTCTCAGCAGAGCCCAAGGAGATGCCCAGCAGTGGCGCTAAGCCTCCTCGGATTTGTTTCTACGAGGGTCAGCACCTCATCAAACTCAGAACACCTTCCTTACCATATTGGAACATGCGCTAGCAAAAGTCATGAATTTTGGATTGAACTGCAGACAGGTTATAGGACCTGTGTGTTTCCCATCCAACACAGCCACCTTCATCCCGCTTTCCCCATTCCAGACATGAATCTTCCCATCCTCCGAACCTGCAGGCAGGAATGGAAAACAAGATATGGAAGATATGTTGGAGAGGCCAGCAGAGAAAATGACGTCCATAACCTTTTCTGTCCGAGGACTGGAGCAAGCATGCCTCGTCTTCAGAGCTTAACCTTTTAAATCCTCCAAGTCTCACTCGGGCATTTGGAAAGCATCACTGGAGGTTACACACCCGTATCCAACAGCGGATTTGTATCTCTGCACTGCAGAGTCCCAGCTCTGCACCGCAGCCCAGTGCTGTTCTGGCAGAGAGGTTTGACAACTACGGTCACCCAGTGGAAAAGGAGAGCTGACATCATCCACCTTCAGAGGCAAGGCCTGCACTGCTGAGCGAGAGGCCAAATCTTGGCCAAAGCGTCACTGCTCACACAAGTGCTCAGTTCAGGCACAGGAGGAGATGAACTAGTTCACTTGGTAGGCACAGAATCAAATCAAAGGCTTTACCACTGGGGGTAACCACATGTCACAGCACTGCGCCCAACACCAGACACTTCACTGGAGGCGTCAAGTGTCCACGTTGCTGCAATCTCGACAGGTTTTTCACTTCAAAATGGCATTTGGCAAACTCTGAGGCCGGGCAAGTAACACTTCTATAATTCAGTTCTGCTTGAGTCTCATTTTAGTCAGGATTCCTAACGAAAACACAAGGAATTGTCTTCTGCTCTGTATTTATACGTACAGCCTTTCAGGGAGGAAAAATTAAGAAGCGCAAGTTACAACTTAACCCCGTGTAAACACTTAACAGAAGTGTTTTGCAACATCTTCCACTACAGCTTTCATTTGGAAGGGCACAACAGGAAGGTAATCAAGTGCAATAAAGTGCCCTGCAGAGGCAAACTAAACAAAGAACCACCCCGCTCCGTCCCCCGCTTTCTCTGCAATGAGGAAGCTGTCAGCCAGAATAAAAATCATAGTTTTGCCAAGACCATCCCTCATCCAGAAAAAATGAGGACCAGCATACCAACCTCCAGAAACTTAAACATACTTGATGTACCAAATAACTACAACAAGAAAGGAGGAGAGGAGATGGCCCTCTAGGAGAGGGCAACACCACACAAATGACTCCGACTTGTGTTCAGGGGTCCTGTTGGGCAGCAGAGCGGCCGAAGCACTTACCCTGGGGTGCCCAACCTGCAGCTCCAGGCTTTGCAGGAGCTGCAGCTGCTTTTTGCCACCCACTTCACTCGAATCCCTCGTGGAGGGGGTGAGAAAGAGGCCTGGGCCAGAGGAACCATGCTGGGAGCCATCAGGCTAATGCCTACTGCTTCTATCAGGGGTTAAGCAGGGCTTGTCCCACAGACACGGGTATTTACAAGCACCACGTGACCAAAACGCAGCTGCCCCAGCACGTCGCCCGTGCAGGAACGTCCCTGAGAGGTGTACAAACACAGCAGGCTACAAGAGCAATCGCCCAAGCACAGCCAGCCTTGCTCATTCAGTGATGGAGAGCAGGATGCAACACACAGCCCCAAAACGCTTTGGCGGCAGCGCAAGAGCACGTCCTGGCCGCAGGGCGAGGGTCACTGACAAATTATGTGACAGACCTCCACGCATTACGATGGTTCGACTGTTTCTAAACACATTCTGCTTCCCGACACGCACAACTTGAGTTCTGCATAAGGCATTTCATTGCAGAGCGCTGAGATTCTTTCCAGAATCATCATCTTACCTATCATGATGAACTGAGAGTCGGGCGTGAAGGACGCCTCCAGCGTGACCGCCTTGCTGTTGTTATAACCCTGCGGCACAAAAGAGGGGAACACGTAGGAGAGCACGTCCCTGCAACCAAGGGCGCCTGCTCCCAGAGCTAACACTGAGCAGGTAGCACGGGCAAGAGGCTCACCCCAAACGTATGCAGGACAGCTCCTTTAAAGGCATCGATCAGTCGAATGAACCCGCCATTGGTCGATATGAGGATGAGTTTGCCATCGTTGCTGAACTTCAGGCCCGTCCACTCGCATGTTCGATCGTACTGCATCTTAAACGTAGCAAATGGCCCCTTCAAATTAAAAAAAAGGGAGATACGACGTTGGCTCTGTATGCATTGCTACAAGAGGCTACTTTGAACCTCAGCTCAGGAAAAAGCTGAAGATTTCTCAAAAGAAAAGCCTTAGTCCCAAGATACCAACAGGAAGTGTCACGGCAAAAACACAGCACCGCGTGGGGTGAGTTCCAAAGTATGAACCCATAGTTTCCATTGCAAAAATGAGCTTAAGTAGGGTGTTTCAATACCCGACAGTCCCGCACTCTACCACATTCAGCAGCGGAAATTAATTCAGGGCAGGGTGAAGATTTCAAACACGGCTGCTAAGAGAAGTTAAAGAGCCAGCCTGAGCCAGCCTATTGTCCCCTGACATTCTGAAAACCAGGGAACTAACTCTGCTCAGTGCTTTGCCAGGTCAGCTGCCCACCCAATTACAGTTTCCTTTGAAACATCCATCCTTTCCGATAACCCCGGCTCCATCTTTGCCAGGGTTCTTCCCGAATCCGCAGCAAGGCATTAAAAACAACCACCTCAAACCAACTACACCAAAACCAAATCAAACCCCATGAAAACCCAACAACTACAAAAAGCCTAAACAGAAGTTACAAGTTTAACAGTTTAGAAGTTTAGCAGGTTAGAGTTAGCGGCAGTAAACTTTCACGTTGGCTCAAGGGTGGGTTTCAGGATCTGGTGACAGCACGTACCCCTCTGTCTGCGAGACGCGTACTTGCCAAAAACTCTCTAGGTGCGACGTGGGCACCCCAGACAGTAAGCTGCGAGTTTACACCACTCCTTGCAAGTTGAAAAGCTGGAGAAGAGAAGTTAGGATAGCTCACCTTGTCAAAAGAACGGAGATCGTAAAGCTTCACCATTTCAGAATTGACTCCGGCAGCAAAAATCAACCCTTCTGGGTCAAAAGAACACACAGGCTTCCCCTGGAGATGCATTAAACCCTACAAAACAGAAGAAGCTCAAATTCTTTTGCAAAGCTGATGCTCGCATTTCTACCACCACCCTGCGAGCCCAGGGCAAGCAGGACAGCAGCTTACAGGTGGAACAAGTGAATTTCAGTTGTAAAGATTGAGGTTTTACAGAGGTTCAGAATTCAGCTTCTCAAAAGCAACCCTGACTACTTCAGCTCAGCACACAGAGCTTCCACTTTGCTGCAACGACAAAGTTCACATCAGAACCAATCAAGAGCTCATTCGAGCGGTCACCCGCTCAAAAAGGACCCAGAGAAGGGAGGACGACGTGGCTGTATTAACCACCAAACCATACAGCACCACAGGACGCTGCTGCTGGGACTGCCAGCAACACTACCGATTACAGTTGGGGGGGGAAATATTTTGAGAGCAAGTAGAAACAGCTCCAGCACACACCACTTCCCCTACCTGTTTAAAAAACCTACACACGTTCTGGAAGCCAACAGACCTTACGTATTAAAATTGAGAGATTACTATCAATGCTTAGTTTTAATGTTGACTTTTCCTTATCTCAGTTAGTAGAAAAGACTTGAGAAATTTGGTAAAAGCCAACAAGATCTAGAACCTTCTGCACCCTGACTGGCAGGTCTGTGAGCATTAGTCAAATGTCTTTATGAACTGTATGCACATAATAAAGCACATCTTTGATTACATCAGCAATACAGCGAAGAAATTTCTGCATCCCTGACATGCCGCTCGTCTCTAGAGAAGTCTAGAGGCTTTACTACCTCCCTCCCTTTCCCAAGGCAGCCGGGTTTGCCGGGTCAGCCCCGAAGGGTGGGCACCACGGCTGCCATCTCATGGGCACACAGAAAATTACAACCAACACCTCAACCCGTTTCCCAGCCTTTGCTGGGTGCAGCTGCCAGTTACCAGTCCTCGTTTAGCCATTCCTGCAGCTTCAGGCATCGGCATAAATCACAGAACTGCTGCTGAATTCACAACCCTATCTCATCTGCAGTGACTCCGAGATTTGTCCCAAGGGACACTCGCACCCTGGCCTTAAAGGCATGCTCTCAGAGAAAGGCAAAATTAAGCTTTCTTGTCAGAAAGCACGTGGATTTAAGACAGATAAAACCATTTTTTTAACAAATATAACCTTCTCTTCCTTTTGCATTTACACTTACATCATCTGGAATAAGTAAAAAACCCTCTCTCACATGCAAAATGGTCCCAGTGAGATGGGAAAACATGAAAGCACAACACTACATGTCCAGATGCAGGAACAGAACACCAGTAAAAGGCAGAGATTTTACTCCTGTATTTTTCATTCCTGCCCCTACTGCCAGCTCCAGTACTTTTCCCAGCCCACACAAACCTTCTTCCACTGAAAAAAGTAAACTATTCCAGTAAAATAAATAAAGCCAAGCAGGGTTTTGCTTTGCTAGAAAGTTAAATCTGCTCCCAAACAGGTCTGATGAACACCAAAAGTGACGCAAGGAGGCGGCACGGCCATACGACTCGTGCGTTACTTTAGACCATCAGTTTCTTCATCAAATTTAATTGCATTAAGGCATCAATTTTAAATACAAGCACACTATAAACACTGCAATAAAACGCATCTCCCAGTGCCCCTTCTGCTGCCATTCCCACCCCAGGAGAGAGGCAGGCTGACAGAACACTCTCTGCACCGAGGCAGGAGCCTGAAGCAGCTGCGAACACCCAGCTCTGCTCCTGATTCATCAGCCGTGGGTGTTAGTTCTTGCTCTCGCCAGCACCTCTCCAGCAGAGACAGGTGAAAGCGAGTGCTGTTACACAATGCAACACACACTTCACAGACATTTGTGATCAAGGCTCCTTCAGCGTTCCAGGAAAGTGCCAACACTACACCAGCAGCACACATTTCTGGCAGTAGTTTTGTTCTGTAACAAGTACGTGTCCGTTTTTCATCCTTCTACCTGAAAACGCAACACGCTACGCACAGGAATTTGATATCCTACCTGGCAATTTGGAGAGCGGAGATCCCAAAGCCGAATAGTTTTATCCAGGGATCCAGAAATAAAAGTATCATCCACTGGAGACATCGAAAGAGCAACCACTCTGCAACACAGACCACCACACGCATCAGAGACACAACAGAAGCGCGTCCCACCCCAACCACCGCGTACAAGCTCGTGACGGCCGCGAACAGTTCTACAAAACAAAGGCCAGAGTGAGCTGAGCGCAGCAGAACTCAAGCTCGTCGCGATCACTGTTTCAGCTTGGCCTGTACTCTCCCCAAGCCACATCTTACCTTTTCGTATGCCCCGGGAAATAGCGAATGTATTTGTTGTCGTGCAGGGAGAGGTATCGGATTGTATCTGAAACCATAAACAGACCGTAAGCTTTATTATACCATAAACCCAATGTTATCTAAAAGTGCTGACACGCTAAAACTACTCCCTACAGCAACAGCAATCTTGCCACAGTGAGTACGTCTCGTCATTTCAACTCAGGCCCTGAAACACAATCAAGTTAGAAATGGACACAAAGCAACTTGACTTCCAAGGTGGAACTGAAAATCACAAGCACCAGGAAAGATACTTCCCACAGCCTGAAGTCATATTACATCTTAAAGGCAAACCGTCATGTGATCTATGCAAGTTAATTTCAAAGTTGCTCAAACTTAAGTACCAGTAGGTTTTATTCCATCATTCTCATAACATTGAGAGTATCGCATTTACAAAGTTGATCCTACCACTTTTTTGTTGCTATACAGCATGAATCTTGCTGTCTTACATCCAGCAAATAAGCCTCCAACTAAACAGTGAGCAAAGGAAATGTGCCAATTCCAGCATTTAGTCCAAGAGAAAATAAAACCCATGAACTTCAAAGGCAGGACAAGACCATGATAAAGTAGCAAATCTCTCTCGTTTTACTCTGACAATCAACAGCTTAACACATTCCCTGCACTTTGAGCAGCTAAACTTTAAAAGGAGGGCAGGAGTAATCTACAGCTTAGTCCACTTAGAGCAACCTTAAAAATATACTGACTAAATCAGAGCAGCACCACAACTGCAACTTGAGAACAGATGAACACGCCAAGAGTAGCCCTGAATTTTGGAAGATGCTGGGAAGACTTCCTCCCAAGATTAAAATAAACCCTTAGAAGAGGAAACCAATTACTAAAACTCAGAAGACACTTTTTAATCTTTATCCAGCTGAGTGATGAAACGGGAAGAGCACAAGTTAAACGTCTGATACGTGAAAGCAGCAGAAAAATCCCTCTGACGCTAGCTGGAGGACACTAGTTTAAGCCATGGCCGGACAGGAGAGATTGGTATCAGGCACCAGCATCACACAGTGCCAAGAGACGGTGCTGCTGTTACAAGTCCTACCGAGGCTCCACGGAAAAAGGACATTTTCACTTTTGCCTCAGAAGAACAAGAGCCAACAGGACACAATATCCACAAAGCGTTTTAACACTTGTAAGTGCTGCAGTGTTCAGGGATTTCTGAAAGGCTCACTCAGGAAAAAATTGGTTTCTGTGGGGGAAAAAATGCCCAGGTTACCATTTTTGCCTGAGGTTTCACATCAAGCTGAGGTCAGAGTTCTAGACCGCCCTCTAGGATTGGACAAGCAAAGTCAAGCTGACTGATGAAGCTGGAAACATGCTGCTGGTGACACACCATTTCAATGGGGTCTGAGTGACCCCAGGTGACTATCCAAAACATCAATCCCCAACACCAGTGTCACATCCCGTCGTGGCTAGAACCGATACACTTCAAGCACGCCTGTTTAGATACATCTTTAGTTTTTCCTGCAAGAACTGTCATTACCTGATTCCCAAAGTATCCAGGCAGAACTTCATCTTCCTTTGCTAGGGAGGAAGCACTGGGGAACTGTGATCCCTTGTGATCCTTCCTGTTGGCAGCGCTCTGTCCCAGGCAAGGCAGTGGCCTGTACAGTTATCTCCTGTACCGGGTGGTATCATAGACCCTCAAACTGTACAAACTACTACCTCAGCCTGGAATCAGGCACGAGGAACGAGGTCCAAAGGTCAGGAGGAAATCTTCAGAAGTGGATCGGTTGCAACTCCAACGTACAAAATGATTGGGAGCAAGCGCCAGCCCTCCTATAACATGTTCCTGGGTTCATTTTCCCTCCCAGTAACTGCATTAACTGGTTAAATACAACACACCTGGCCCAAGACTGCATTAGGGATTAGAGTACCTGGACCTCTACAGAACATGCTGCCGGTTTTATTAGGCTTATGGTTTGTAACAGCAAATACTTTCACATTCTTTTTCTTTTCTTCTAACAAAGTATTTATCATAATGCTACCCTGTAGAATGAAGACCTTTAAGTTTCGGTTCCTCAAAGACTTACCAGTGCTTATAAACAAAAACTCAACTCAAAATGGCCTTAAAACTGGTTCATTAAACTGTTAATTAATTGGAAATTCAGTAACAGCCGTCAGAAATGTGACATAACAAAGCACTTAGTAAATAAAATAAAATAAGCTGTGAAACAGACTGAAAAGGCAAGTGCTTCCAGTCACATTGCACCACTAAACCAAATTCCGCCGGAACCTTCCTTGCTCCTCTAGTTTCAGGCCCAGCTTGCTTTAGTTCAACCTGACTTCCCAACTCTTCACTTCCATCTGCTCTAAATCCACTCAAATTCCTCAAGTAACCTGGGAAACACCGCAAAGCACCGGTATCTCTACTGTCAAGTTCCATCTCTGCAAAGGAAAACCAAAACCCAACCCACTATGCCAGAAATCATGATGATTAAAACCCATTTAAAATCTGCTGTGCCGTGACTCGTTCACTGAAAAACTCTTCAGACACTGGCTACCACGCACAACATTGAGACAAAACGTGAAACGAACACTAGATGTTTCCAACCTTCTGAAACATCGTCCAGTAGAAGAACTAATGTGCCTCTCTGCGCCAGTTCCTGAGTTTTAAATTACTCTCAAACACATTAATAGGGCCTGCGGCGAAGGTCTGGAAGCCCTTTGCTGTCACCAATTTGCAGAGTGTAGCTATCACAGACACTGACTGAGAAGAAATGGCATGGAAATGGAGGGTTTGCCTATTCCATGGAAAAAACAGATGAAGAGAAGCAAAGCCAGTCTCAGAAGAGCTCTGTGACCTCCCCCCAGCCTGGCTAGTGATCTGCTGAGCTACCTGAACTTCCTGCCCTCTCCGCTGTGTACGGAGAAGGGAAAAACATTGCTTTCCTTTGCAGCTGGCTTGTGGGTGTACCAGACAGAGCTACGGTGTTTAGCCCACCTTTCAGCCACATCTTCCTTCTACCTCACTCACGTGTGAGAAATTAAGGCACAGAGGTAGCTGATGGCTCTGGTACCAGACAACAAACTGCTGCATCCAGAACCAAACTTTTATTGCACTAACAATGTTTAATCCCCTAGATACTGCAGCAACGAACAGAACTCACGTCAGCACGCTCGAGGGAGCATCACCAGGTTGTGCATTAGAGTTGAGCATTAATTCTTCTGTCTCTGACAGCGTGTTTATCCCTGAAAAGTTGCTCCAATTTTTTCCCAGTTCTTTAGAGGTATTTATCCAGGCATGAAGTTTAAAGCGTAAGAAGTTTAAATATGCTCAATCACTTACCATCTATTTTGTTGGAGCTGTACACGACAGTGTTGGCAGCATGTGTGTATCGGATGAGGTCCACTCCATACTTCTTACTGTACAGCGTTCTCTTTGGTCTGTCAGAAGGAAGCAGAAATAATTGCACTCACTGCAAGAAAAAGCTCAAACTGAGACTCGTCACATTAACAAGGCCCGTTTTCACTGAGGTATTCCAAGAGGGTTTCAAGTGCTCAGATGTCTTTATACAAAGAAAGAGAAGCATTTGTATTCGATTTTCAAACAAGCACCTCCGTGCTTTCTCGAAGACCATCCCTAGGTTTGAAGGGTTCCCTGTAACACCTGCAAAATGCACTTACTTGTCTCCTCCAGAAATTCTTGCTCCCAGGATGTCTACCGTAAAGAGAACATGAGAAGCTAGCACAATGAGCCCTTACCGTCAAGCAGCACTGCCTCATTCTCTTGCCCATCCAAACCTCTAATTCGCCTGCTGCTTATTTCAGACTGAGCATAATTTGTCTTTTTGGTTCTGTGTTGCTTTGAAACCCATAACAGGGTGCCTCGTTCAGAATAGGGCTTCTCAATTTTAATGCAAACATGCATATACACCAGTAGTCTAAAAAATCAGAGGTACCATAGGGACTCTACTGGAGAATTATACTCATATTCTATCCTAATTAAAGCACAACATGCAAATCATAGAATGGTTTGGGTTGGAAGGGACCTTAAAGCCCATCCAGTTCCAACCCCCCTGCCATGGGCAGGGACACCTTCCACTAGACCAGGTTGCTCCAAGCCTCATCCAGCCTGGCCTTGGACACTTCCAGGGATGGGGCATCCACAGCTTCTCTGGGCAACCTGTCCCAGTGCCCCCCCACCCTCTCCAGGAAGAATTTCTTCCTGATATCCAACCTAAATCTCTGCTTTCAATTTAAACCCATTACCCCTTGTCCTGTCACTACAGGCCCTTGTAAAAAGTCCCCCCCAGCTCCCTTGTAGCCCCTTCAGGCACTGGAAGGTGCTATAAGGTCTCCCCGGAGCCTTCTCTTCTCCAGGCTGAACAAGCCCAACTCTCTCAGCCTGTCCCCATAGCAGAGGTGCTCCAGCCCTCGGAGCATCTTCATGGCCTCCTCTGGACTCGCTCCAACCCGGCTGTATCCTTCCAATGTTGAGGGCTCCACAGCTGGACGCAGCACTCCAGGTGGGGTCTCACCAGAGCAGAGTACAGGGGCAGAATCCCCTCCCTCGACCTGCTGGCCATGCTGCTCTGGATACAGCCCAGGAGACGGTTGGTTTTCTGGGCTGCCAGCACACACTGCCGGCTCACGTTCAGCTTTTCATCCCCCAGTACCCCTAAATCCTCCTCCTCAGGGCTGCTTCCTATCCACCAATGTAACACTTTGCAACAGGATTAAAGACTCAGAGTGAAGAAAACGTACAGAACTGGATTTTAAGGGGTCTTATAAGTAAGAGATGTACCACAGTACTAGAAACTGAAACTGGAAAGTACACATAGCAGTAGCTGGTTAAAGAGTGCAAGGTCTCTACCACCCTCCCTCCCCTTTCTTCCTCAACTGGTTTCAAAGCGGGGCAGTAAACCAGCAGGGGTACCGATCAAGACCAGAAATAATACAATCTCTTCCGGGAGTTATTTTTAATCCAGAAACTCGTAACTCCAGTTATGACACAGGCCCACAACATATTTTACCAACACAGACCAAGGACGACAGCATGGGAATGGAAAGCAGCAGGAGTGGTTTAAACCAATACTGCTGCCAAAAGAAAAGTTTATCAGACTGTGCCCTCAGATAAGGTATTTGTAAATGCCCCGTTTTTCCTTGTTTTCATTAACCTCAAATTGGTACACCCAAACAACAGCATGAGTTGGAGACACTTCGTATCAGAACCAAAACAGACATTCATTCTTCAAGATTAATTCTCCAACAGCAGAAGCCACAAGACTTTGACTTCAAACGAACTTGCTGGGGACAAGCTTCCATTAACCAAAAGCCTAACAACAAGCGTAATCAAAAGCCCTGCACCACCCCGACCGCTTAGACCAAATCTCAACAGATTCCTCCTCAGTTCCCCCCAGCAGCCTTTTGGATCATTTTTTTCAGAAGCAAACATGCTACAATTTGAAAACAGCACATGTAAATCTGTGCTTTAAAACATCAAATGTAAATTTAGACACAAATTTCTAAATTTCTAAAAATTCTTTAGCATTATGTCTGATATACTTCCTCATACCATTCTCTGCAGTTACCTCAGCTACGCTGCTGACCACATAAAAAAGCCAAGCAAACAACCAAAAACTAAATACAAAACATGCTAAGGTTCTCATGTCTAGCCTGGCTCTTCCTTACCTATGAAAAGTATACATCTTCAAAGTTCTATTCAGAATAAAATAATATACACCGAGAGGTAAAGATTGTCAGACGGACAAAAGTACATTTACCAAAAAGGAGGAAAGAAAGTGTTTCTGTGTTTTTAAGAAAGATGAAGTTTTCATGTAAGCTGATATAAGCAGAAGCACGTCACTTCACACAAGACCGACCGCTTGTTCCCAACCGACTGTTTAAACGAACATGAAAAAGAAAATTAAGTTTTACGTATTTCTTTTTAAACAAATCACAACCACTAAACATCATTCCAAGTTTAAGGTTAATCTACCCAGCCCAGTCACAAATCAAGCAATTTCACCAAAGTAAAATGCTTTACGAGGGAACGGTCAAATCTCATATTAAGCCGAAACAAAACAGGGGGAGGGTTTTCAGTAATATCTGAGCCCTGGTTTGAATCACCAGCACTGCAGTAAACCATCATCCAAAACCAGGCTCACTGAAATGTCCAGTGAACACCCCGCCTCAGCAGCAGCCAAGCCCATCACCTCTGTTTGCATAAATAACACACACCCGATAGATACTAAACTGCAAACTCAACCTTCCCTAGGCGACCATTATATCCTATCAGGGATACAGATTTGCAGGCACAAGGCCGTGTTCCCAGCCCCAAGGACCGCTGTACTTTCCAACACCTCACTCTGGCCTAAAGACCAGCAGAGTTGTTGTTAAGCCCCAGCAGACACAGGTAAGCCTCCTGATTAGGCTTCTGGGCTAGCCTATTGTGGAGGTATTTGGTGGCACATAATGGGTTTAAAAAAAATAATCAATTTTGTTGCTTACACATTTTGAAATAGAAGTGGAATCTCAGGTTCAAAATTACTGGATGCTCACGGAAAAGCAGGACAAATTTTTTGAGTCGCCCACCCTCAGAACACAGACAGTAAGGGAATCTGTGTTTCAAGGAGATAATCTGGTCCCGCCAGCCCTCGGCTACACATCGTGGTTTAAACTGCCCTGACACTTTCAGACACCGAAGTTCACCGAGATGCGGTTTCGCCATACTGGTAACGACCCTCCTAGCTGTCCGGCTCATTTCCGGGTGGCAAACAATGCAAATGAGGTGAGCGTGTACCCAAATATAACCAAACACGGTCGCACGCTTAATTCTACTAGCGGAACCCCTCATATCAGGGAAAAGAACCCCCCAGTTTTGTCGCTTTTACATGGGGAAAAGTTTTAATGTTCAGGTCGTTTGACGAAGTAGGGTACGTTATACCGAAAACCAGCAAGCAGGACGTTTCCTCCTGGCCACGACATTTGTTTGCAGTGACACGTACAAGGTGAGTTTCAGGCTCTTGAAACCGTGGTTTAAGGAAAAAAAACCAAAACACACTATAGGCCTGTAATTGGCAAATTGCACCATGTCACAACCACCACCATTCACAGATTTGATTTTTCATCGCCACGTGAATCTCCTGTGACAAAGTAATTCACGCAGGGGAGAGAAAAAGCGCATCCCGCGTCCCCAGGTAGCTCTGAAAATCACACTTACCCTTTTAAGGCAATTGGTAGTAAATGAGAAACTTTCTCTTTACAACCATTAGAGAAATGAATCCCGAAACAGGGGTTACCTTGACAAAACTACTCTCGTGGGCCTGTAGCAGTGCAGTAGCTGACCATCGACCTTCTACGTTTAACTTAATCACGGCAAACTCGGACTGTAAAGCATGCATCCTCACCCGATGGAGATGGGGGCGAAAGGACCAAACGCCTCACACCCCATCAAACTACTCTCCCAAGTTTGCAAGGGGAAGAGCATCGATACCATCTGCATTAACATCACCCAGCCCTTCTGCTATCATATCTAAGCGGGGCCTAGAGCGCAATCCACGGCGGGCACCGTACGTATGATAAAAACGAATTCATTTCCAGTGAGTTCACTGCATCCAACGGGAACAGCGACAACTTTACGTGTAAAGGAAGCAAACTAAACCAAATAAGGAGTCTACAAAATTCAGAGAACGTGCAGGATGCCATCTTTCAAACACAACTAGTACGATGCTTTGGTCTGCTTCAAAGAGCAGGAGGATCAGGAACACCTGATTTACTAGAAAATATACGTAATACTGACACACCTACCTCCTGGTCCTCCCAAACCACTTTTTTTTCATCCCTGCATCACCCTGACCTTTTTATTCTCTCCCCTACAATATGTCCTTTCACTTTCTGTATCTACTTGATGCTCTCTAGCCTTGACTTTACAAAAAAAAAATATCACGACACCTCAGAATGACATCTCTACACCAAGCACGTGAAAATTAAAACTTCACATTGAAAAGAACGTAAAGCAGCCAAATGCATACTTGTAGCAACTGAGAAAGTTTTTAATGGAGTAATGACATCATTTGGCTCAACGTGTTCCAACTCCCACAGAACACAAGTGCCTTTTGTGCACGTCCCAGGACACAAGCCACAAGCGCTACTGGTGGTGTTATTTGCACCCTACCTCAGGTGCCGTGCAAGTTTCTGTAAGACAGGACAAGCATCGTGTGATCAATAAAAGATAAACCGGACAACTGTTCAGTGAGAAACACATACCCCCCTTAATTCCTCACCCTTAAGTAACAGAAATCAATAAACATCTTGATTGACTACACGTAAATTAAAATATCTGAACATGCCTGTAAATGACACAGGTATTTTAATCATGCTTTACAGATAAAAATACAAATGGAGAAAAGGATTTTATAGCACAGGAGACCACCTTTGTCTGCAATGTTCCCAGACATCACCTAGGAACTAGGATTTAAGGAAAATGAGTTTTCAGAAGTTGTAGTAAACATACACCACACCATCTCTACCTGTTGGCTCCAAGCATCTACCCAAGCAGTTACGCTCCAACCGGGTTGTTTACAACGGCACGTCTGTACACTGCTCACAGCAGTTGCTTCTGTTTTAATTAGGGTTAAGCCTAGAGAAGCCTGGGAAGTCAGTTCTCCTATCTGTAACAATCCCGAGGCCTGGAAGCGTGACCAGGCTCAATGCTTT